CCCGAGTTAAGGGCAGTAGAACATTATTAGGTACGTCAGCTTCACTAACAACACACTTGGAAATGTTCTCGACAGCAGGAATCACACAAGAGCTTAGCTCAGCCAACTCAGCTTTGAGTGAAGCAATCGCATCATCTTTTTCTTGCAGAGAACACCGCATAGAAATAAGATCAGAATGCAAATTATCAATTTTCGACACTATTTTGTTGTTTTCATCGCGCTACGCAGCGAAAGAGTTGAGCAAGGTTGCCGATTTCAAATTAGCACTTTTTAGAGAGTCGGATCAAGCTACAATATTAGGCGAAGTACTTTGCTTTTCATCCAAAGCGGTTGGAGGCGGGGGAGTTGAACGGATTGACTTCCGACGAGCGTCCGCGCAGACTTCAGCATCAGCTTGGTTAATATCAACGCAAGCCAAATGAAAGAGTTCATTGCACTTAACGCACTAAATCGTTTGTCGAGACCGACCAACTTTTTGGTTACATATGCAAGGCATTTTAGATTAAAGAACAGAATAATGATTTTATGTTATCGATTTATCTTATGCTTGTTATTACAAGAGTTACTGTCTCAGTTCACATTCGCACAAATGTAGCATCATATAAGATAGAAATAGTCACTCTCACTCAAAGATTTACTTTGTAATTCGATTTAATTGACGGGCAAAGAAAAATACGTCCGTACGGCACGACGTTTACAAATAAGTCTATATGTACAGGTATGCTCATCAGCTATCAACGGACCCGGTTAAAATGTTTTCAGAATTTTTAAAATTTTCATATTTTTATTGAGCTTTGTACCACGATTATTTTATTAGGAAAAATTTTAAATTTTCGCCTTGCTTTTTTATCAATAGACTACTAAGCATATGCCTAAAACCATGCTTCGAATATCAAAACCACTTGCAACAAATGAGCTCATCCATATGTATGTACATTAGGGTTGGTCAAAAATGTATGTGAAAAAGTAAAGTCGGAATTTGTATGCTCTCACCCCCTAGGATTGTTCTATACCGAAAAAATATACCCCTATTTTTATACCCGAGCACACTTGTGCATAAGGGTATATTAATTTTGTTCACATAACGGTTGTATGTAACAGCCAAAACGAATCGAGATAGATATAGACAAATGTATACATATATGCTCAGAATGAATAGAGAAATCGATTAAGCCATGTCTGTCTGTCCGTACGTCTGTCCGTCCGTCCGTGTACACGATAACTCGAGTAAAAATTGAGATATCTCAACGAAATTTGGTATGTGGGTTTCTGTTAATCCAAGGTAGGTTGGTATTGAAAATGGGCGAAATCGGACAGTAACCACGCCCACTTCCCATATAACGGTAATTTCCAGAAATACACAAACTGCGATATTTTAGTAACTACTGAAGATAATTCACTCAAAATTGATATTTGTGATAATTTTCAGACGAAAAATAAGAATATTATAAATTTTTGGAAAATGGGCGTAGCCACGCTCACTTATGGTTACATGTGTATATCTTGGTAACCGCTGCATAGATTTCTTCCAAACTTGGCACAGTTGTTGGTCTTGATCCCATATAACGGTAATTTAGAGAAATACAAAATCTTCGATAAATCAGTAAATATTAAAGCTAATTTATTCAAAATTGATGCTTGCAACAATTCTTTACCAAGAAATACGTTTATGGTAAAATTTTGGAAAATGGGCGTGGCACCGCCCACTTATGATCACATATATGTATATCGGTAAAAGTTCTACCAATTTGTAACAAACTCGGTATTTTTATTGTGCTTGCCAAATAAAAGCAAAACGTTGAAAATTATTGAAATGGGACTAAAATTACGGCCGCTTTTTATATAACGGTAAATTTCAGAAATGCTTGAAACTTCAATAATTCGAAATTTAAGGACGCTAATTTACTCAAAATTGATACACCCCGGCTTACCATCTAGCGGTAGCTTTCGGAAAGGTGAAAAAACATATATTTAATACTTGCGCCGGGTATTTAATGTTCGGCTCCGCCCGAACTTAGACTTTCTTACTTGTTTTATTTTGAAATCAAAAAATATTTAGAGGTCGCTCAAAGCGCTCCAAATTGTCCATGCATTTTATATGGGGAAAGAACAACTTTTCGTAAAAATGTTATAGAATTCTTAAAAATCAATTTTTTTCTATCGGAAAACTCTGTTTATCTGTAGGAGATTCCCAATAATAATACGCAATTGTTTACGTATGAAATTATGGCAAGCGATATATTCGAACCACCCTCCTGCCGCTATAACGAATCACTTTGAGCAGTTTTTGCGAACCACCCTCATACCGAAATATGTATGCACGTACATATGTACGCACAACCTTTGCTGACAGTTACTGCTTGTGGATTTTTCTTTCTAGATATGTACATACATGCGTATATGTAATGCATATAGGTGCAGTTTGGCAAAATAACGCGTGATTCTATTTAAATTACCGCTACCCATTTAATGTTTAGAATACATACATACATTGTACATATATATGTATATGATATTTGTTCGCCTAGGTAGAGCAGATCAGCTTACGGCTTAATAAATTTACTTGCGAACCTGAATTGAAGTCAACCGGACGTTTTATTCTTGTACACAAAGTCTGGTGCCTCCTGTGAGGAGTTCACATTTTTACCATGTCATCTTTAAATATTCGAACATCTGCTCGAGCATCCATCGCGCGGGTTCTTGGTACGGTACAGGCCGCAGATTTTTCACCTGACCTGGTGGAAGTGGACTTCACTAGTCAAATGGTGCAGCAATATTGGGACCGCACAGTGTATTATTTCCTTATCTAGAAAATATTAATTACATTATTTTATGTAGCCAAATTTCAATACAACGTCAAAAATGTTTTTAGAAATGCCTGATAAAGACGAAATAACAACACCTAAAAAATTTAAATCAAAGTGTAGAGCGGGATGAGATTTGATTTGGAAAATTACCAAGCGCAATAATATTTAAACTTGTATATTTGAAACTGAATGTCGAATGTTTAATTTATCGGTGTTATGTGCTTTATGCAACAATTGCTAAAATACCATTTTGGTCTTATTTTCTTAGGTATGTTCGTTTTAATGAAAATACATTTTTGGGATTTTAGTAAACTAGGACTGAGTATTTCATGTTAAAGTAAAACGATGTTAACTTAAATTTATTTTTAGTAATTTATTAATTTCATTAGAACCGCAAACTCGATTAAGTTTGTATCTCAGTTTATTTGCCACTCCTCTTAGACTTTAAACAACACAATTTTAGCTGCTGGAAAGTACAGGTTTTGATGAAATTTTTTTTTTCAGGCCTACTAGGATTTTTATTTTCTTCGAATAATTCATTTGCATTTTATCTCGACCGAAACAAATTCTTGTATCTTCGCTTTGAGTAGAGAAAGTCTGATTCATTACCTTTCCAATGGTAGCCCATTTTTGTAAATAGAGCAATAAATATTGAGCTTGCAACGGAGTTTTTTGACCCAACTTGACTTTTTTATCGATATTTTCCACACCCACAATTAAAAATTATAAATATTTATTTTTAAATCAGTTCACCATTCCTTGTTATAGGGACATTATAAATATCAATTTTGGACATTTTAGCCTTTGTAGTTAGTTAAATATTTCAGTTTTTGCCTTTTTAAAAATTTCAGTTATATAAATAGGGTGGCTTGACAGTAATTCTAAATGACCAATTTTTTGTAAAAAGCTTCAACTATCTTATAACGAACCTTGTGCATAATTTCATTAATTTATATTCAATAGTTTTCAAATTACAGAATTAAAAGCAGCTAGATGGGTCAAATCTTACACTGTGGACCGTTTTGTTGAACACCACTATAACCTCGTTGCGGGATCATTACCTACTGAGGTAGAAGCGCATGATGAGCTGTTCGCAGAGATGGAGGATATGTTCACAAAGGCTTGTCTTCGCCTGCACCGAATGTGTTCTCATCTGAGACCCGAGCGAGTTCCAGAAGTAGCTTCTACCCATCATCGCACATGCGATTTGAGGTTAGAACCCATTTCCGTACCAGAATTTGATGACCAACTTTCGAATTGGCTGGTGTTTAAGGACATATACGAGAGCCTGGTGCATGATCGTAGTGACCTCGATCCGACATACAAACTCGGTAATTTGCGCAAATACCTAAAGGCTGAAAAGGTTCCCATGATCGGCGGACTGTACACTGGTGGTTATGCAGAGGTATGGTCAGAGCATGAACGCCGTTATGACCACCCTATGTTACTGTCGCAAGTTCACATACAGCGAATCTTGCACTTGCCTAGCAATCCAGCTGACACACCAAAGGCCTTGCGCGATATTATTGATTGTGTGCGTAATAGTTACCGAGCTCTGTCCGTCATGAAATTGCCAGTCCATCAGTGGGACGCTATCGTGGTTCCGGTTGTGTTAGCGACATGGACGTTGGGCGGTAGTAAAACGAATAGGTAATTGCTTTAACTGCTTGCAACCAGGGCACAGGTCTACTGACTGCCTCTCAGGACTATGCTCCTTGTGTCAACGTAAGCACAACACGCCACTTTGCCGCGGTGGAGATAAGGGGACTACGAATACTACTGGTATTCCTTCACCTGCAGAAAGACCAGCAACCCCTCCAGCGAAGGTGACAGCTTTAGCTAACACACCCCCTCAATCATTGCCTCGGAGTCAATGACTAACCGACAAGGCTCAGTCATTCCTCATCCATGGGGATCGCATCGTGTTGCTCGCTACAGTCAATGTACGCCTAACCGATTACCTTAGAAATCAACATTTCTGCCGGGCGCTGTGTGATATGGGATCTCAGGTTAGTCTTATACCTGAGTCAATGTTTAATAAGCTGCATTTATGTAGGCGACGCTGCGAGGTGCTGGTGGAGGGCTCCGTCAGCTTACACCAAGGGCATAGCTACCATAAGTTTGCATTCTACGGTCAACGAAGACCTGGAGATCAACTTAGATGTATACATATTGCGTACAATTACATCTACCATGCCGGTAACGTCAATTTATACCAGTTCTTGGAACCATATAAATGGGTTGCGACTTGCCGATCCCACATTTGGAACACCTGGGCGTATATATCTGCTTCTAGGTGCTGATACTTGGAGCGCAATTATCCAGGACGGAGTAGTTGCGGGTAATGCAAACCAACCGCGCGCGCTGCAGACTCGCCTCGGTTGGATCGTGCTCGGTCAGACAACGACCAATACTCAGGACACAACAGCGCATGCATATACAGCTAATAAATGCGATGAACAACGACTAGATGTTTTGTTGCAGAAGTTTTGGGAGGAGGAAGAAGCTTCCTCGGAAATACGACACCCTGCAGAGGACGAGTGTGAACGCATCTTCATGAGCAGTGTTACGCGGAGGCCAGACGGGCGATATAGTGTTCAAATCCCATTTCGTCGTGACGCCCCGGCACTTGGGAATTCTCGCAGGGCAGCGCTCCGCCAATTTCTTCAGTCTGAACGCAAGTTGGCAAGCAATCAGGAGCTCCGTGGGAAATATGTGGAATTTATGCAAGAATACGAGGCACTGGGTCACATGCAAGTGGTTGGGGATTCTGATATTGATGAGTCACAATGCTACTTTATCCCACACCATGCTGTGCTGACGAAGTTACGGGTGGTGTTCAACGCTTCGGCTAAATAGAGCAACGGGTATCGCTGAACGATGTTGACATTCTACACCGGTTCCGTCGATTCGCTGTAGCGATTACGGGTGACATTAAGATGTTTCGACATGTTGAAGTAGACCCCAGACATCGCGTTTGGCAGCAGATTCTCTGGAGGGAGTCTCCTGACGATCCTATTCGCACCTATCAGCTGAGCACCGTTACATATGGAATGGTTTGCAGCCCATATAACGCTGTTCGTGCGTTGCAATAGTGCGCGATCGATAACCACAGAATAATTACTGACGCTTGCCGGGCAGCTGCGGCACGAAATAGTATCGCTCAAAATTTCTACGTATATGACTACTTGGATACCGTAGATTAGGGATGCCCAAATCAGCACATATGTGTCGCGGGCGACTGCGCGTGCAAAGCTTTGCACAGCGGTGCTGGGCAAGCGCGGAAACAAAAAGTTATCGGAAGGGGAAAACGAAGTCAAGAGAATAGTGAGATTGTATGTGTGACAGTGATGGAAAATGAGTGTGCATTGTGCCTTTTTCGGCCCTTTCTGAAGCAGCCGGCACCTTCAGCACAATCGATTGATTTTCGGCACAATTTTTGAGTAAATCAATGCAACTAATAAATATTTCGGATCCGCAATTAAAAATATTTTTTTACTTTTAATCGTATGTGCTTAAACTGATAAATGATATACACATAGAAACGCAAGCAGAAGAATCTCGCTTCCACATTCTGCATATGCGCTTAACATTTGTGTTTAAACAAATTTGTCGAAATTTCATTTCTAAAGCAAATATTAAATATCATTTAATATATAGTTTAGATTTAAATAATCATTTTTAGTGGTGGGCGAGTCCGAGATACATACAATTCGCGTAGATTTTTGAGAACTTTTTTCGTTGAAGGTGTTAAAGTTTAATTTAAAATATTGGAATAAAAAACAACAACACTACACGCGCATTCATCCATTTAATATAAAATTCGAACGTTCGTTATATGGAAGAAAGTGCGCAACACCGCAAACAGAAAAATTCAAAAAATCAATGGTATTTTCAAGACACTTCAAACTTGCACCTTATTATACTAGAATGAATGGGCTACAAAATTGTTAACTCAAAACATGTCTACAAATTCTGTACAAAAACTGTGAAAATTTGATGAAACTTTGTTGATTTTTTCATTCTTTCAAGTTTTGATTTATTTGCAAGGTTTTTGTTTGATAATGAGCTACAATTTTATAAAAAAATAATTAAAATTATTAAAAAAAAATAAAATAAATACCGGGTGACCGTGTAATTTTGTCAAAGATGAAGACAATGATGATAAAACATTAATACACTATATAGGACAGTTCATATTAATGAACATAAAATGAGATCACTATCGATAAAATGGAAATCCTCAAGGGAAATTTATAATTTCAACGCATGGAATTTACATACATTTTTTTTTACTTGCAACCCCCGAATTGCTCAATTACTTCTATTTCTGCAGGATCGCCATTAGGTAAATAGCATTTCCAAAGATTTTTTCAAAATAAATAGCGATGAGGATATTTCACCCGCCGGTGATAAGAAATCGCAATCACTATAACGCACATCACTAATATTACTGTTCACAATCACGTTTACATTCAAAATTACAATTCATAATTTCGTTTTGTAACAAATATGAAATATAGGTATATCCATTTACTTAAATGTAAACGGATTAAGAATCAAAGTGCTAGAAGAGATTTGAGCGTTTGGTACAAAAAGTATTTTTGATGTTGAAATTGTACTTAAAATCGGCAAATTGTACTTTTG